CTTCCGCCTGCCTCAGTTTCAGCCTCAGCCTCAGCCTGCCTCGGCCTCAGCTTCAGCCTGCCTCAGCCTCAGCCTCAGCCTGCCTCGGCCTCAGCCTGCATCAGCCTCAGCCTCAGCCCTCCTCAGCCTCAGCCCCAGCCTCAGCCTCAGCCTCAGCCTCAGCCTCAGCTTCAGTCTGCCTCGGCGTGCCTCAGCCTCAGCCTCGGCCTGCCTCGGCCTCAGCCTGCCTCGGCCTCAGCACGCCTCAGCCTCCCCCCCCCCCGTCCCCCCCCTCCCATTCAGCCTCACCTTGTTTCAGCTTCGGTTTGCCTCGGCCTCATCCTCAGCCTCACCCTCAGTCTCAGCCTTAGCCTGTCTCGGCCTGAACCTGCCTCGGCCTCAGCCTCAGCCTGCCTCAGCCTCAGCCTGCCTCAGCCTCAGCCTTAACGCCTCAGCCTGTCTCAACCCCAGCCTGCCTCAGCAGCAGCCTCAGCCTCAGCCTCAGCCTCAGCCTGCCTCGGCGCGCCTCGGCCTCAGCCTCAGCCTGCCTCGGCCTCAGCCTCAGCCTCAGCCTGCCTCAGCTTCAGCCTCAGCCTTCCTCAGCCTCAGCCTGCCTCATCCTCAGCCTCAGCGTGCCTCGGCCTCAGCCTGCGTCAGCCTCAGCCTCAGCCTCAGCCTCAGCCTGCCTCAGCCTCAGCCTCAGCCTGCTTCGGCGTGCCTCAGCTTCAGCCTCAGCCTGCCTCGGCCTCAGCCTGCCTCGGCCTCAGCCTGCCTCAGCTCGGGCATTCGAAATATGGCACAGGATTTGTCTTCAAGGAACACGAAGATCACGAAGTGGCCCACAGTTGGCTCCGGGAAATCAAAATATGGTGCAGGAGTGGTGCTCTGGGAACACGAAGAACACGAAGTGGTCTACAGTTGGCTCTGGGCATTCAAAATTAACGTGGGAATGGTGTTATGGGAGCACTCAGAACACGAATTGGTCTACAATTGGCTCCGGGCATTCAAACTTTGGCCTGGGAGTGGTGTTCTGGGAAGACGAAGAACACGAAGTGGCTTACAGTTGGCTCCGGGCATTCAAAATGTGGCCTGGGAGTGGTGTTCTGGGAAGACGAAGAACACGAAGTGGCCTACAGTTGGGTCCGGGCATTCAAAATGTGGCCTGGGAGTGCTGTTCTGTTGGCTCCGGGCAGTCAAAATGTGGCCCCTGGCATTGAAAATTGTGAGTCCCCGGATTCCCGCGGCACCGGTCCGGCATCTGCCCAAACCCCCCTGGGGAGTCTTGATTTTTTCAAGCCCACTAGAAATCTATCAGTCTTCGCGGTTCGGTAATTTCGTAGTTGAGTCAGAGGGGCAGCGCTCGCCTGCCCGCGAGGGGGCCGTTGTGTATTCAGCCCCCCTTGAGAAAGCACGCAGGGCCCCCTTCGGCCATGCTCGAGCCGTCGAACGGATGGGGGGCGCATCGGGGGCCACGAGTGCGCGCGGGAGTGCGCGTGGGAGCGCTGGACGCGCGCGTCGCCCAACGACCGCAGGGTGAAGTGTCGCCGCGGCGGAGAGACCGACGGCGGCCACATGGCGTCTTGGATTCGGGCCCGCCTTGGTCGCGCCTTCGCAGCCTGCGCGGCGCGTCTCAACAGCAGGAGCAGGCGGCGCGCGACAATGCGATAACGCTCGGGCGGCCCACGATGCCATCCCAATGCCAAGCTTCAGGACGTCGACGTGATGAAAAATTCTCAATTTCAAAATCGTTGCGGCTCCCTGGGGGGAGGCGGCCTCGCAACATCATGCAAGATGGCGATGATGAGGATGCTGACGGGGAGTCGGCGACAGATGATCCAACCGTCGCCAAGATCGTGGTTCGATGCGAACTGACGCCGACGGCGAGTGGGACCCTGGAGAGGGCAGTCGTTTGAAAAGGCATAGCTCCCGCCGCCCCGACGGCGATCGCGTGAGAAAGTGAACGATCAAAGGGATTGGAAAGGAAGGGAGACAGGGCGTACAAAAATTCGTGGAGAAACGATCTGGGAGATGGCTCCTCGTCGACGCCGGGGCAAGTGTTACCGTCCTGGCGGCTCAACGAGAGCTCTGGTCACTGGGCCGGTGGCCGCCCAAGGGGAAGCCACGACGAAGGGGGCCGTGATGCGACCGGAGCGTGGACTGCGGAGAGTGACCCGTGAAATTGTTGGCGCTGGCAGTGTGGCCAGCAGGGCGCTCCAAGTGACCAGGGTCGAAGGTAGGTCGCGGGAAAGACCGCCGGGAGCCCCGCAGGCTTGTCGAATCAATGCAGGTTTCGTTGAGCAGCAGAGCCCCAGCCTCCGCAGAAGGATTAGGTACTACTCGGACGGGCTGCGCCGTGCAATTTTTTTTGGGTTGGCGCACTCTGACGATGTGTGCTGCAGGAGCAGGAGCAGGAGGAGGAGGAGGAGGAGGAGGAGGAGGAGGAAGAGAAGGAGGCGCAGGATTGAGGTAGAGTTTTGAGGATTAGAGGAGGAGGGGTGATGCTGCTGATGATGATGATGCTGATGCTGATGCTGATGCTGATGCTGCTGATGATGATGATGGTGGTGATGATGATGGTGATGATGATGATGATGATGATGATGATGATGATGGTGATGATGATGATGATGATGATGACGATGACGATGATGATGATGATGATGATGATGATGATGATGATGATGATGATGATGATGATGATGATGATGATGATGATGATGATGATGATGATGATGATGGGGGGGAGGAGGATGAGGAGGAGGAAGAAGAGGAGGAGGAGGAGGAGGAGGGCCAGAGCCCATCATGCATCAACGATGCTGCGACACACCCTCCCGCCCCAAGTGTCTCCCCCATCGCCCTCCACAGGAAACCCTGTTCACTAGGAACCACAGAGGGTCTCCCCTTGGAAGGCGCGCGCCCCATGGAAGGGGCCCTTCTGGCGGAAGCCCCGATGTGGCACGAAATTGCCCCCCCAATTCGCTTACAACAAATGCCACTGTGCACCCGTCGGTCGTTGAAAGTTTGTACTTTTGGATTTTTGGATCCCATTCTACACTAGGCGTCTTCCTATTGCAGAAATCGAGCGGTTGTCCCTCTTCCCTCTTTTTTCAGGTGGCGGGCGGCAGCCCAATCTATTTCAAAGGCCTTCCTGCTGCATGTTTCCACCCATCTCTTCCGACCGACGGACATGATCTTAAAATCCCAGGAAATATCCAGGGACAACTGTTTTGAACAGGAACCTCCATCCATGCCTGCGACCGTCCCCACAATGTCATGCTTGTTTTTTTTCACGTGTGGCGGGGGTCGCATGTTAAATTGAGCTGCCTTTAGTCGGTGTAACTGTTGGAGGCTTCAAGACGAATGTGCGCAGGTCTAAGGAGAGAGGCACACTGTGAAGCAGGCTGTCTTCCATCCACGTGTACCCTCAGAACCTGTGAAACGAATGCGAGTAGCGTTGAGGCGAGCACCACGTTTTGAAGAACACTGCCCGTCCCCATCCGATTTTAGCTGCAGGCGGCGTCAGAACCAGACGTGTTGCGGAGCTTCTGGCCGAAACGCCACGCCCGCCCGAGCGACACGCCTATGTGTGCGGCGAGGAGGCTTTGTTGACAAGGAAACGTGGTGCCGGAGGAGGCGGGGGGAGATACTGAGGAAGATGAGGGCGACGATAATATGGCCAACGTTTTGACTGGTGGGATTCTACGGCGCCCCAGGACGGAGGGATTTTCCTTCTCCTGCTCATGTTGTTCCTGTCACTCCTTCATGCTTATTCTGCTCGTGCGTCTCCTGCTCGTCCCGTCCCTTCCGCTGCCCGTTCCCTCTCCTTGTCCTCCTCGTCCTTCTCGTGCTACTCCGAGACTCCCTTCCCTCCTTGACCTACTCCCTCCCCTTTCGCTAGATCAGCGTGCCTCTTTCTCCCGCCAAGTCCTTGTCCCCCGCCCTCCCCACTGCCACGGCGGCATTCTTGCATCAGTGCTCCTGCTGTAGGTTCGATGCAATGAAACATGTCCGTCGTTTTTTTCGTCCAAGGGAACGGCGCGTTCGTCGCAGTGGTGGCCATGCTCTTGCATCAGCGACACTGGTAACGATCTCCATGGAGTTTCCGTCGGCGCTCTCGTCGTACCACGGGCCCTAGTCCTGCATCATCATAGGTGGAGCTCCCACTGCAGCGTGTGCCACATGTAGTGGTCTCGATGGAGCCCCCGCCCGCGGGAACGGCGCTCTCGCCGCATCGATGGCCGTAGTCGTGCATCCGCAGAAGTGGTACTCTCGCTGCCGCGCGTGCCACGTTGACGGGGGCTCTATGGGGCCTCCGTCCAAAGGAACGACGCTTTCGTCGTGGCTGTGGCCGCCCCCCTGCATCCGCATGTGGTTTGTGCCACCCCACAGAGGTATCAAGGGTTCCCCGACGCCCGAGTCTGCGACTAAAGTGGGGGGAAAGGATGGGGGCAGGGGTAGGACGTCAGATACTGCGTGTGCGCACCAGGGTTGAATTTTCTTGACCCTCCCCCACTTCCTGGACCACTTGAGAGAGCCAACCGCCGTCCTGGGTCACCGATTGAGCTGCGTCGTCTGGCGCTGGCCGCCTTACGTGCCCCACCTCAGTGTGGCGTGATTGCGGATGTCGTCGGCGTCTTCCTCGCGTGGAGCCATGCCAGCGTTTGTGCGAAGTTGGACTCGGAGAGATAAGAGGCGATAGGGCTGGCCCGACCAGGCGAGCGAGATCAGTCGACTGACACAGCGAGTCGAGACGGGTACTTCGAGCTGCTCGATATTCGTGGGGGGGGTGGATCGCGCGGGGGGATCTGGCTGGCATGTTTGGCGCTGGTCGTGGGAGGGTTGGATCGCATGAGGGGTGGGTTTGTTGGCGAGCGTGAGGGGGCTGGAACGGGCTGTCGGGCGGAGTGGCATTGAGAGGGTGTTTGTCGAACAGTGTGGAGTATGATGAATTTGGAGGAGTACGCGTGTGACTGCAGTCCGGAAAACGAGTGGGTGGAAGGGGGAGCACCTGCGCACGCGCAGGTGAATTACATCGGCGCTGGTGTCGTATCGCCGCGGTCGAGCCCAATGCGCGCAGGTAGCTTTCCAGCAAGTCCAGGAGTGCCAGAGATCACTTCCAGGACACTGGCTTGGCCAGACGGAAAATACGAACGGCAAGACAATGAACATAGATTCGACAAGTTCGAACATAGATGAAGCGAAGGAGTGTGGTAACACTCGGCAGCTTGCCCCCTTCGTGCTCGGCTTGTTTTGAGACTGTTCTGAGCTTCAGCTTGTCTTCAGTCTGGGTTTTAGTATGTCTTGACCCGACCCCTTCAAGGGGGAAGTTCTGTCGTCCCCGATCCATGTTTGGTGGTCCCGGGTCTTGAGGACGGGTCCTAGAGACGGACATCTAGGTGAAACGCTTGGGCAGAAGGCATAACATCGCCCGAGACCCGGAGGTTTCTACAGTCAAGACGCTGAAGTAAGGGCCACTTTGGTCTCAGGAGGGGCCGGGGTTTTCGGGCCGTTCTCTAAATCTGGGTCGAAGAACCTATTCGTGGCCGAGGCCCGCCGTGGCCAGGAAAGCCCCCTCGCTCCTCACTCAGCGCTCCTTCTGACGACGATGACTGCAGCTGGGACCCCGGGGGGCTCATTCCAATGATGGGCCCACGTATTTCGAGAGTCAGTGTGTGGCGCCCGACGGCCTGTGGACAGTGTCGGCCCGTGCTTGATGGTGTTGGGGGTGATACTTGCTGTTTCATATGTTCGGGAAACTTGCCCCCCTTCTTGTCCACGGGCACGGGGTTGGAGGTTCGAGATTTTTGGGCGTCCTCGTCGGTTCCTGGGCGTTTCCCAGCCCCGGCATGCGCTCCAGCAGCTTCGCCTCGCCGAGGGCGTTACAGGGGTGAGCGGGTCGTCCCGAACGGCCGATCAGACCGGAATTACGATCTGAAAGCCGCGTCCAGTCAGGGGCAGCGTAAGGGGGGGCATCGGCTCAGGGGTGGAGCGCACCGATCGCCGACAGGAGCCTGATACCCCAAGCCGCCCAGGAACGTGCGGCTCGCTGTCGGAGGCCAATCGCCGATCTATCGGCGATGTATCGCCGATTCAAGCTCGGTGTGTCCCCCCCCGAGCTCGTTCCCGCCCGGTGTTCCCCCCATCGTGGCCCCCCTCATCGAGGCTGTCTAGGATCTCCTGCCGCAAGGGCGTCATCTTCGAAAGCTGTTTTCCCGCATGTGATGGTCGATGGCTTGCTGGCAGGAGTCCCGAGGTGGTCATCGGAGAGCTCTCAAGGTGTTTTACTCGTGGTGCTCGATGCTCTATCAGGGTAGTGCCGCGCTAGCTTCGGGGTGCAATGCTCGGTGCTCGAGGTGCTCGAGATTATGTTCAACACTCGAGCTGCTCGTGTTTCGGGTCAGACGAAAGGGGGAGTTATGGTCCATACATTGGCGCCTCTGGCAGCGGGAGGCGCCGGGAAAATCAGCTACGTGAGCTGGTTCGCCCAACACCCTTCACTATACCCCCCTTTCGTCCGATCCGAGTCTTACGGCAGGTTCGAGTCGTGTCGATGCGGCGGCGACCCCAGCACGGGAATTCAAGGTTGACCGTCGCCGGTGGCGCGGAATCGGACGATGTGTAGCAACTTGGCGAGCGAAAGGCCTCCGACCGTTCAAGGTTGAACGATCCACGATTCGCGCGGTGTCAGAAACCAACGCCGATGCCGTCACGAGACGAACCTGCTGTAATTACGTGGGTTGCTCGATCCTCGAATGCAGCACGTGTCAGAAACCAACGCCGATGCCGTCACGAGACGAACCTGCTGTAATTACGTGGGTTGCTCGATCCTCGAATGCAGCACGCAAGGTCGATGCTTGGGATTTGGAAGCTGATCGGCGCCTCGGGGCGTTATTCTCGCGCCCGTAATTCTGCGTGCCGGGATCGTGAAAGAGACTCGTGGACCGTTGTCGACACGGCCTCGAAGCCCATGCCTGGTGCAGAAGGATGGGGAGACGGATGACGAGCAAGAGGAGGAGGAAGAGAAGGAACACAGTGAGACAGATGAGAAGGGGCACGATGTGGAGTGACAGAAGCGGACCCGATGGTGGTGATGTTAAGAACGATGGGTATGATGACGACGAGATGACGATGTTGGCAATGGTGTTGTTGTTGCTGCTGATGATGATGCTTATGATGATGATTATGATGGTGATGCCGATTGCGATGATGATAACACTGATGCCGATGAGGATGACGATGACGATGCTGATGCTGATTATGCTGTTGATACTGATTTTGATGTTGTGAATGATGAGGATGATGACGACAACGACGCCGATAATGATGACAATCATGATGATACTGTCAATGACGACTATGGTGACGACGATGACGATGATGTGATGCTAATAATGTAGTGGTTGGTGACGATGACGGCGATGCTGATGATGTTAGCCGTGAGGATGAGAAGGGGGCAGTGCTGATACTGATGCTGATGATGCTGCTGCTCCTGATGATGTCGACGACGATGACGATGCTGCTGATGATGATGATGATGAGGATGACAAGGATGATGATGATTGTGGTAATGACAACGATTATGCTGATGTTGGTGATGCTGGTGATGGAGAATCCGATGATGATAATATTGATGATTAACGTCGGAATCGCATATTTCATCAACGGCCGCCTCTCCATGGACACCAAGGGGGTTTCTCAACGAGAGGCCTTCGAAATGCTATAGATGCAGCAGAAGATGAACGCCATGCTGGCTTGCGTCGTTTACCCAAACTCAATAGTGGAGGGATGTGCACGCAGTCTTTACCGACAGGTCGAGAGCTTGGCGGCGAAAACGGATACGCACGGAGACGTGTTAAGGAGATCTTCAAGTTGGGTAACGCCCTTAACAAACGAGGAGGAATACAGGCGGAGGCGGCATAGGCACGCCCATCAGCGAGTTTAAGGCCTTCCAGAACCTCGAGACTTTTACCGGCGACAGCTAAATTCAGAGAGTGGGAGGATAAGTTACTTACCGCTCTAGCGCAAGTCCAGTTTATTGATGATCGACCAATCAAGTTTTCAACAATAAATTGGAGACGATGGGCGGAGTCACTTCTGAGGAGGACCCGGAAGACTTGCTACGGGTTCTGAATGGGCGATAAAGCATGCTGGGTACCAGGAAACCACCGCGGTCAGACAGCAATTGGAAGACGATGAAGTGGAAGCCGAGTTTACGGACGAAACCATGAACAAATTGGACGAGGACCCCGGGTTCGTCCTTCACCGAAAAACTTGAAGGACTTGACCTACGCGGCAAGCTCAAATGATTAACGGACGGAGATAGACGTGCCGCATGCCAGAAGATCTACAAGTACGTCTTGGCAGTCACCGGTGTTACGCTGGCGCAGCAAATGCCACGGGCCATGAACCCTGAACGTCCCAACGGCCTTAGTAAGGTGTCGGGTAAACTGGGGAAGTGGAGCGCGAGGGTGCGGGCGTTATAAAAAAATGACTGGCGCACGTTTTGCCCATCCCTTTCAGGGTTACTGCCCTCCGCGTGATCATGAACCGTGCGATCGAGTCCTTTGGCGAATGGCAGCAGGGACTTTAGTGTTTGCCCGATGGTCAGACACGCACCCGAAACTCCACGCTAAATGTGAAGATTGGGCCAGGAAGGAAAAGTTAAGGCTGATACCAAACGCGGCGACGGGCGATGTGGGCGCGGTCACCAAAGAAATAATAGACTGTCTCAAATGTAACAACTGCGGTGGATTCGGGCACTGGGCCAAGGACTGTAGGAGGCCCCCGAGTTACAACGGCGGAGGGAAAGGAGGTGAAGGAGCAAAGGGCAAAGGGAGCTACTGAACCACATGGGGCAACTACCTAACGGGGAGGCACGGCGGCAAAGGTCAAGACCGAGGTCAGAGCAGTTACGGCGGCGGAAGATTCGCCCCGCACGCTGATCGCGAATGTTGCATATGCGGAAGCATGGGGCGCATATACCTGCCCAGAGTCTGCCGACATGGTAGGGCAAAGACGCTGGGGGAGTCTGAAGCACGCCATGCTCGGGCTATCTCATGACTGTGACTCCGCGGGGTAAATGAGCCAGGAGGATCGAATTGGGCCATTAGCTCTGCAGGGCCACCAACTACTGCCGAACAGCCCGAGGAACGGAACAAGCATAGGTGCGAGAAGAAAAGGAGTAACAGACTCGAGGCAACCAACGCGCGCAAACTTAACCCATGACGCCAAGATGGGAACAGCTGCAATCATGCAGATCAATCGATTCGCAATTTCGCCAAACATGGCAGCCGCAGTTGGTTGCAGAAGCGCCGGGGCCTGGGGCTCGCGGGGCGCCTGGGAGAGCGCTCGGGAAGTTTGCGCGTTGCCGCGGGTCGACGAGAATACCGAGACCGCCCTCGTTGCTGTGGGCTCCTGTGAACATCGCGCCGCTGGGCTTCGTAAGGTCGGCGTTTACTTTCCAATCAAAACGGCCAGTGCGTCCAGGAGCGGCAGGCATTGCAGCGCGGCCAACGGGGCCATCGTCGGGAACGGTGGGCGGAGAGTGAGCGGACGTCGGCATGCCTATTCAGGTTACTGATGTTGAGAAGGCATCGGGCTCCGCCCGAAAAATGATGGAGCCGGGCAACCGAAAAGTGCTTTGCCGCGACGACAGTGGTGGGCCGCGCATGCGCGTTGAACGCGTTGCCAATGCCAGCGGCAATGCAACGGCAGTCCGTGAAACGAGCTGCTCAACGCCACGATGGTAGTTCCTGTGGGCGGCGGAATCGACGTCAGCGAGGTCCGCGGAGTTCCCGAGAAACAGGAGTCAGAAAATTGCGCGAGGACGGGGCCCTCGACGGCCCGCCGCCTGTAAGGCCCTGAGACAAAGACGGGATTCGCGCGGTTAGTAGTGGCGATGGGAGCGGATGCGGGGGCAGCGAGTTGAGCGGCGTCGAGGATGCGCCCACGGGCGAGGAGGCCGAGCTGCCGTCGGGAATTCGCTGCAGCGCGCGACCAAGTAAGGGGGGAGTGGAAGGCCGCAACGCCATTCATCTGCCTCTCCGCAGCTGGCGCCCCCACTGCGTTAGAGGAAAAGCAGGGGGGCGGAGCCGCTGCGCAATGCGAAGGGCGCGCGGGA